CTCCAGAACGGAGGGTTGAATCATCCTCTACAGTCATACCCTAGTGGAACTAACGAAGAATTACGGCAGAAGGTCATATCATCAGGTATTTTCTTCAGGTGTGAGATTGGAAAACTCAGTGCTTGTTATATGTCTGAACTGAAACCTCGTGAACAGCACCAAATACCTGATCGATCGTAATGAAATGAAAAAGTTTAAGATTTGGGGCTATCATTCTGAATGTAATTACTGACCGAATATTGAAATTTATTTTCATCGAATAAAAAAATATGGAAATATTACACTGCTAATTTTTCAATTCATCAAATGTATCTTGTGCTATTTCAGAAGTATGAAGTCATCTCTAACATTCTGTATTTACATTGCACTCTAAAAAGATCTATCCTAAAATAGGACGGCATAAGTCGCTTTCGAAATAGTCGGATTGATTCGTCTTATTACAACACTTTTCAATCCGCCTTATATTAAGACGAATCGACCTACCTTATTCGTCTTATCTTAACATAAACTAGTTTGTAGCTTATTTTCATTCTTAACGGTTGAAGGGTAGTCCTATTAGAGGACCCTGAGAGAATCATAATTACTGACTACATCAACGGTTTTAATAAGAAACTAAAATAAATTGACAAGTTTTTCGGAAGTTATTATTTTTTATACAAGTGACAAACGCAAAACAAAAGAGATGAATGACTTTTCTGTCAATTATAGAAGTAACCTGGAAGAACGGCTGGCAGGAGCAAGCATTTTAAAATAAAATGAATGAAATAGAAAGACGGATAACATAACCGGAATTCGTTTTCAGAATTTAGAAAGAAATCTCCTTATTATAGAATTTTCACTAGCAAAATGTTATCAGTAGTTAAATTAAGTAAGTTTAAATCGAGATTTTATTTTTGTCTTCGAAGATTTTACGGTGGACTGAAATTGGGATTTAGGCTTCAGCCCTAATAAATCGTAAAAAATGAATTTTTCATTCTTCTCACTAAATATGACCTTATTTCCCTATACACAACGTGTTATTTATCATTGAGACTTAATTATATCTGTATTTATTTTATAAAAATTTTTAGAAAGATTTATGAATCAACGATATTTTTGTTTTCGTATCATAGCATACAAATTCAGTATTTAGAACTGTTATGATCTATTGTCGCTTTTAACAATGTAATAATAGATATTAATGAAAATATTGATCGGTACACGCAGAACTCCCTATTCTTATCATTTAAAAGCTTTTTCCTAGAGTGTTAAACATGTTTTATGATAATGAGCGCCGAGCGCCATGATTTTATAATAAAAACACATTCTTTCACTGTAGGGTTTTAAAAATGAAACTATAGAGGTATTTCACACTATGCAGAAGAAAAAAAGAAATCTGTTAACACAACAAAAGCAAAAGCATAAAAATTTTTTTAATAACAAATCTGATGTAGATGTTAACGTATAATGAAATAAGAAAATCTTTCTAGTTGAAAGTTTATCGATTAGTCTACTTGAGCAGTAGTAGTACATGTCAAATAAAGCACTAATAAAACTATTGTAACAAGTTTGTTGACATTTTTTTTTTACAAGAACTTTAGCCCTAGTCAAGGACGCATAACATTACAAACTTGCTTTTCTTTTTCTTTTTATCTATGACGCTATTAAGAAAAATGAGCCAATTATTGTAGACAAAAAAAAACAAATTTTAAAATATAACTGTACATTGATCCGTATGTAATATCTTCCATATTTTTAAGTGTATGCTCATTTCTGTAATATTTTCATTTTATTTAGTGAGATTAAATTTTCGAAAGATTTAATATTGATAATTATTTATTTAAAAATGTACTCAATGAGTATTAGTTGCCATTAAAAGATCGTTTATAACTCTCACGTAGCTGTTTAGTTAAAAATAAATTCAGTTTGTTTAGTCAAAATATATCGGAATGCTTTGATTAACTTGTATAAATAATCATGCATGCATGCATACATACTAGCTGCTGTTCAATTATTATTATCCTATAAAAATGATCGATATTTGATATACATATTTCTTATTCTATAGTAGTTCCCGTCGTTTGACTCGATATTTAGATTTGTATCACTTTTTCTTTGTTCTTTATTTATTGTATGTGTGTGTGTGTGTTGTGTGTGTGTATTTTCCTGTTGTAAATATTTTCTTATCATTTTCATAATAAACTAATTATATTAAGAAAGAGAGAATTATATTATCTATCTATAGAGTAAGGATGTCATGCTCAATTGTCGTCTCTGTCTGTCTTTCTCGTTTTTATTTCTTCTTCTCTCTTTTTGATGATCAAATTTTCTTTATGCCAATACTATGAAAGTAAAATGAGAAACAAAAGAGAAGAGACGAGCGAAATCTGCTCGAAAACAAATGATTCTTTTTTTATAAATAGACAAAAGCCTTGAATAAAGATAATAATCTTTCAAATAAAAACAAAGCGAGAAAATAATACTTGATGCGCTCAAATAAAGGGAATGTGAGAGAGAGAGACACAGTAGAGAGAAAGAGAGAAAGAGAGAGAGAGAGAGAGAGAGAGAGAGAGAGAGAGGCGGAGAGAGAGAATAAGAAAAAGATTTCATATTGTCGTTCAGTTTGAATACATAATGAATTATATTCGCTACACATGTATCATCAATGTTTTTATTCGAAGTGACTTGAAACTATGAAAGATATAAAAAATTCCCAGAAGCTATTAAACGATAACGTTTTGCTATTAAAAAACTATGGCAATATCTTATTTTACTTGAGAATCTTTGAGATGATATTTAAGAAAAGGTTTTTAGTTTTGATAACAAATTTTTTTTATTTTCAGTTGAGTAAAAAAACACGTCCAACATTGTTTCTTTCTTAGTCCCAACAGGTAATTTTATCAGAAGTTATAAATTCAATTATTAAAAGTTTATATGATTTAGTGACAATGAATAAGACTAAAAACCTTTAATTATATAAACTTTGCACAAATATTATCTAGAAAAAAAAAAGAAGAGGGAGAAAAATTAATATTTACATCATAGAGAATCGAAACAGATTTTCTTTTCGACTTGAATAAATCTATTCTTCTGCTTGGATGTCTTCTAAGGAAATGTTAAATTATTTCCTAATCTTATCGTCATCGACGACAAAAGAATATGTCCTGATGGTTTGGGTTTTTTTCCCATCGGAATATAAATTTTTTCTTCTTCTTTTTCTTTCTCATTTCATCAGACTCATAATTATGCTACCTGTCTTATTCACAGCTCTTCTCTATTAAAAATTAGAAATAATAAGATTCATTGATAAAATGCGATAAGCAATTATTCTATAATTTTATCAAGATTGCTACCAGTGACGCCGTTTTAGATGGTAAGAAGAAGATACCTTCTTCATTGAGATCATTGTTTATCGAGTGGTAAGTAATTGGGATCTTTTGTGCATATTGGATATATATATACATATACATACATACACACTCATTATACATTCATAAATAAACATTGGTTATTACACCAAGGTTGTTGAAGGGTAACACAATCTCTTTAGTGTCTATATTTATTTATTACCGATTGGTGTGTTTCTTCTTTTTTTTTTTTTTTCTTTTTAGACTTTTTTTTAATAAATTCGTTCTTTTTCACTATGATGTACGTTTTATCAAACGAAAAACAACTTGTAAGTTTAAAATTAAACTTTATTTTTAACCATGACTTCTATTAGTAACATATCTATGCCTAATAAAACGAACAATAGAAAGGACACTTGTAAGATGTAATAATTCAACAGAATCCTATAAAAGAGCAAACAAACCATCTTAATTAAAATCAATAGTGAACTGGACAATGTGCTCGAATGAACAAAAGAAATACACTTCAATAGAATATAGTCGGTCAACGAACCAGTTGAGTTTAGTTATTGCAAGAAAAATAATAAATAAAGCACTGATAATCATGATTCTCTTTAATAATTTATGAACAAATATATAATAGGACAGTTCAAGTATAGACACTTATCAACACTTTGTGGCTATATATATATCTAGGAAAATAAAATAAACTTCTGTTCTTTGCTTAGTCGATGAATACAGTAATGTCCATAAAAAGATATCTTTTCTACAAAAAAAAATAAAATAAAAAAAAGATTAAAAAAAAAAAAAGAACTGGACAATAGGTTTTCCTTTCACCGATCATTTTCTCAACATATGACACACTCATTTTTCTTTTGTTCCTCTTCGACTTATATTAAGCAGTATAGTTAACATAATAAGTATAGTGTAAACTATTTCTGCATTTCTTTTTCTTTTTTACAGCAATCATTACTATGTACGACGAGAGAAATAGTTCATAATTGTACACTTTACAACTTTTAAAAATTAAAAGACATATTCGGTATGACATAAATAGTAGAATGATATAGTTGAACATTGTTTATTTACGATGCTCAATTGACTTTCATTGAGAGTGGAGAGAAGCAGCTAGGACTTGGATACATAATCATAGATAGAAAGAAAATATCAGATAAAGTCATTTATTCTTTCGTGAAGATAATATAGTATTTTCCATAATGGCTACAAGTCACTTATTCATTAATTAAAGATATGAATCTTTTAAGCAAACTGCGTTAGAGAAATAACAAGAGTACAGTTCATTTATTGTTTTACAAATATACGCCATCTTTTATTTTTGTACACCACAACGACACATTAATGATGTGAGAAAAAAAGGTAAGCATATAAAAAAAAAGTGATAGAGAGTATTGGTCTAGTGAACCAGTAATGTATGGATTCGATTTTCAAATAAAATTTATTTTTCCTTCCACATTACTATGAAAACAATGTCATTAATGCAAATATACTCAAGAAGATATTTTATCTACTGAAAAATCGACAAAAAAACTTCATGATGATATCAGTATCCGGCATATTGTTGTTTTTCTGTAATTTTAGACTAAATGTATGTGAACAAATGATTATACTGCAAAATATCATACCAAATTAATCTCTTTCAAACAAACGTCAATAATGTCTTCTGGTGATAATGATAACAATAGTAATAATGGTACTAACAATGCACAATTAATTCCCGATAAATCAACATCATTCTTCTTACGAAGCTCCACGTCATTTATTCTTGCTGGTACAATTACAATATTAATTGTATTTCTATTATTTTCAATATTTCTTTTATGTTTGTTCAAAAGGTATGTGTTTTCCTATGTTTTTAATTTATATCTAACTATAGATAATGAGAAAAGCTAAAACGACAGTTATCCTCTGGTTCATTATTATTGCTAGTCAGTCTTACATTTATCTCATTTAATCGTGCTGATGAATTTTTAGACTGCTTTTTTCTTCGTTTTTCTTCTTATTAATTCGTATGAAATAATCAACTTTTAACCAACTGTATAGGTAATTTAATTATATTCTTCATTATTGGATGTTAGTATTGACACAAATGGTCTGACCCGTATAGATTCATCGTATTGTCTGTTTTACCCCCACCAATCTAACAATAAAAAGAAAATATGCCTTTTCTTGGTTCAAAACTTGTGACATAGGACAAAAAAATATTGTCGAAAAATGATTCGTTCGATCATATATTTTTATACTTATGAAATGAAGGAATACTTATGAAATTCATGGTTTTGTGTCGAGAAAAATCTTTATTACAAAGTCATATGTAACCCCACATTTTGTCATATTCTCTGCAAAATTTACAAATGTCTTGAAAGGTAGTGCAAAATGCAGGATAATCCGGGATACTTTGATCCATCTTATTTATGAGACTACCTTCTAATAACTTTGTAAATTTTGAAAAGAAAGCGAATAAAACTAGTTTGCGAATAAACAAAGTTCTTTGTTGTAAATTCTACATAACAATTATCCGCTACATATTAAAATAGTTAATAATAATATTAAAATCTGTAAATCGGTTCTTTGACATAGTATCTTGCAATCCATTGAGCAATGATTCAAAAATAAATCGATATCTCTCTATATATGACAGAAATTATTGAAGAATTTAGATCGTGTGATTATAACCACATCGGCTTCTGCCGATTGATCTGTATAATCGTTAAATGGTGTCTCAAAGACGAATATTGACAATACACACGACTGATCAAATTGTGTTAATAAAAACATTCTCATGTATATTCTTGAAAACAAATGATTAAACTAGATAAAAAGTGTTGATTTGTACATAACTGATCCGCCAGTTAGAGCTCGATAATGATGAAAAACTTACGAATCAATTTAAGAGAAAAAATATCATGTGTAAATAAAAATTAACGGACAATAAAATAAAAATAAGGATAACAATAATAAATTAGTTATAGTAATTTTTTCTATTATACACTAATATCCCGACGCTGGGATCCCCAATACCTTGTCGAAAATCAATCATGGTAAAATATTTTTATTCCAGGAAAAGAAAGTCAAAAATTAGCGAAACAAAACATCATTTATTGACACAGGAAAATGAAAACATACCAAATTCTAAGTTATACAAAGATGAATTACAAGTAAGTGTAAAGATAATACTATCGATATAAAATGATACATTCTTTTTTGTCTACTTTTAGAGAACCATTGAAAATGGTACAGTTAATAAATCAAAGTTAAAAGAAACAACTGTTATGACGACTAATGAAATACCTATTCAGCTTAGACACTACTATTACGATAATTTTGATGATATCCCATTTATCGATGAATCACGGCCGACAAGTGTTATCGATATAAACAGAGATACACCCTTTGATTATGCATTAACTAAAGTCTAACAGACATGAATACAGATATTCATTTCTATAAATTTAACTTCTTCCTGTCCTCTACTTATACAGTATTTTATCTGAACAGTATATATATATACTTGCTTTGTTTTCGATTCATTATTCACATAGTGTATTCGTCGTGTCTCAGATATTGAAAATATGGTCCGTCAGATATACGTAAGAGTGTCTAGTTGTTCACATTGCTTCAACAGATTGGACAATTATTTAAAATTCATATAATTGTTTAATGTTGCCTTAATAAATATGTTTTCATGTTTTTTTTTTGTATATACTGTTTTATTTATTTTTTTTTTTATCAAAAACTTTTTATTTAAGATAAATTATTCAAAAAAGTTTAACATTTCTATGTAGAATAATAATTACATTTATCGTCAAAGAAAACCTTGATCACTAAATCATAGACATCTTTTTTTCTTTATCTTATGTTTATATTCTTGATTTTTTTAAAACAATACAGTATTTTTGAAAGGTTAACAAATCGATTTTATCCATAGCGTTTATGGATGTATTAATGTTTATTAACTTTAATCATTGGTAAAATGAGATGTTCATAACGTTCCCATTGTTGAAGGAATGTTTGAGCTATTGGCCAAGGACGATCTGGTAAACAATTGTACAATTTTATAATATCCATTCGTTGTGGTTTATAGCGACATCTATATGAAAAAATATTGAGTTTAATGATAATAATCAAAATTTCTACATAAAATAATTTAATCGAGTTCAAGAGAAGGAGAAACAGTTTTAGAATAAACTTACTGTTGTAATATTTTTCGTTGTCCTTCGGGTAATTTAGCCAAACAACCGAGACATAATGCAGCATTTGCTTGAAGAATTTCATTTTCACTATGTAATAATGTACAAAGTATTTCGATTCCATTTATAGCAATTATTGCTTGACATAAACCTTTTTATAATCAAAAAATAAAATTTAATTCTTTTTAGTAAAAACTTTAATTGAAAATATGAATTTTTTTACCATAAATTAAAGTTAGAATTGTTAAACAAGCAAGAAATAGCACACACTCATTCACCGTCCAGTTGTTCTTCTAAGCATGCATAGAACATCGAATACAAGGAAGAATCATGCATTAATATATTTAATATAATAATTTGATGTTGATACCTGAAAATTTATGCGAAGCTTGACCTGAAATATGTATACTATTATGAAAAAAAATGATTGAATGTTAAAAATTGTTTTTAGTTCAAAAAAATTTTGAGATTAATAAATTCAAATTTGTATCAGTATAAGCTGATGATTTTTCAAAGTAAAACATAAATGAGTTCTAGGTGTTTTAAAACGTATTCTAAAATAAGATCTGTAATATTCATTATTTATTTGAAAAAATAGACAAAAATCTTCTTTACCTGGTCGATATCGAGCTATTCGAGCTAATAATTCTGTTGATAAAATTTTTTCTTCATGATTTTTTGTAGGATCAACAATATGATTAATCAATATAATTAATGCGTTTGCCATACAGTCTGAATGAACAACATTTGAAATTAAACGTATGAGAATTATTTCCTAATATAAAATAAATATGAGATAAAATAACGTTTTATAGTTAAAAAATTTAAATATTTCAGTAGTAGTTGTGAGTACCTGAAATGCTGCTTTTAACCTTGTTTCAATAGTCTTAGATGAATATAATTTTAAAAAATGTTCATGATTCAATTGACTAATATCTGCCACTTCCTCATAGACACCAATATCATGATAAACAAATGTTACTAAACTGAAAAGAAGAAAGACGCTCAACATGTAGCATTAAAAAATAAGAGAATTTTTACGCCATTCCAGCTGTCACTTGTGCTAGTTCATTTTTAGATGACATAAGATGTAAAATGTTCATAATTAACGTTATATTTGAATTAGCTAATATTTCCTTGTTTTCTTTATTATCTAAAATAAAATTTAAAATAAATTACTGCTATAGACATATATATTCAGATATTATCTATTGTAAAAGTGCTTAATATTTACCAAATAAGGCACAAGTTAATCCTAATGTCGCTTCTGCTTGTATCACTTCATTTTTCGACATTTTTATTAAATTAACTAATTGTGAAATGCCATCTGCTTTTCGTAATATTGTTTGATTTTGTCTACATGGTATATATGTTGGTGTTAAACAAAGATTCTGTAATGTTCTTAAACAGGATAGAACAAGTAAATCATTGTCAAATTTTAACATTCGAACAAATGGTGAAATACAATGTTTTCGACCTATTTCTAATTGATAATGCATATATTTAGTTCGTACAAGACGTGCTAATTCTCCAATAGCTTCAACAATTGTAAGTAAATAATCAGTTGATCTCAAACTAAAAAATTCGACTAATGTTTTAACACCAATCGTAACTAAAAATATACAATTTATTAAAAAAATAAACAAAAACTTCATCAAATATTTACTTGTTATATTTGATTTTACTTACTTGCCATTTTTCGTCGTCGAGCATGACTATTTCCCGTTAATGACCACAATGTACAAATAATGGCAATTCTTAACATTTGTATATTTGATTTTCTCAATAAATTCATCAACTGTTCTACACCACCTTGATCCATAATCATCATTTGTGTTTCATGATTTTGTTCCACTATTGCCTAAATAAGAATAATCTTGTAATAATAAACATGTTTAAGTATTTAATAGAACAAAGATAATATTTTTACCTGAATACATTCAACAGCCGATCGTTGTACATCGTGTTGTGTCGAATGTAATGAACTGAATAGAAAAGCGGTTAAATTTAAATTTTTTGCAATTATGATTTGTTGTTCCTCATTTTTCATTACTAATTCACGTATAAAATGATATATTGAAATTGTTAATTGTCGATCAAACATTTCCAAATAGTAAATGGTTCGTTGAACAATTTGTGTCTGATATTGAATTAATAATTGATATTCACGTTTTGCCAGAGCAATTTTACTCAATGAATCAAAATATGGATAAATCAATATTGGAGACACGAAACTATTGTCCATATGTAAAATATTATGAATTTCTTTAATTATTTCATTGTGAACGAGAGCATGAATACATTCGGATTGATCACATAATCGACTTAAAACATGACCGTATAATGTAACTATTTGTTTCGATAGTTTTTTTACTTGAACAAACGCTTTGGCACAATCGTTTTGGATAAAACGATGTTTTACATCGGGATATATGTTAATTACATTCAACAATATTAGTAGACAACTAATTAAGACATCATCAATTGTACAAGTATTTAACATGTCAATTAAATGTTTCATTACACCACAATTCACTAACAATGGCCAATAATCGTTCAGATATTTCTCGCGTGTTAAAAGTTCAATTATTCTCGCAGCTGCTATACATTCATTGTCATTTGTTTGTGAAGAAAATAATTTTACAATCGTATTCCATATATCTAAACTAGGTGCATAAGTTTGTTCATTAAAATATAAAATTAAATCAACATTTTGTTTCATGATAGCTATACCAACAATTGTACGATTCTGAGAATCGGTGGCTGTAACTTTTGCACCAAGTTTTATTAAAGATTGAACAACATCGCGTGAACCGCCTACAGTAGCAGCCATCAATGGTGTGAGCCGTAAATCATCAATACTCCTTGATTCCAGCTGATCATAAAGGATTATCTCGCGTTTTGCACCATTTTCCTCATCTTCGTCATCTTCATTATCAACTTGTTGAACGATAAATCGTTCAACAGCTGTTACATAACCTCGAAAGGCAGCCTCATGTATTGGTAAAAATCCATCAGCATTATACTCTTCCATTCTCTGATATTATCTATTTTAAGAGTAAGAACAAACATAAGTCTTTCTTGTCTAGGAGTTCTCTATTACTAGTTTAACAAAGATCCGTTGCATTTCCGCTAGGTAATATGTATTTCGTCGTAACCAATGACACAAATCTCAAAACTATATGCGTTCAGACTCAGGCCATATATAAGACTACCATATATATTGCACTTCTCGCAAACGTTAAGCCTTCAAGAAGTAATAAAAAACTATTTTCAAGGAATTTTTATTTAATTTCTTTATATATACGTCTATATGATATTGCATGTTCTTCTTCTCTTTTCCATTATTGAAAAAGAATTGTAAGGAACGTTGTCGTTTCAATTTTTCTTAATATTATTACTTTATAGTTTTTTGTATTTCTTTTGTCTATGTCGTTTAAGAAGAAAAAAAATACATCCGTTGTTTTGACAACACTAACATTTTTCAGATTTTAAACGCTTACATCTAGTTTTTATCTTGAAATGTTTCTTTGTTCTTTTTCTATTTGAGAAGAAAAAGCTAATGTGATTACATGTATATTTATATAACTTCTGATCTGAGTGAGAAAACAGTAAGTGGTGATTATGATAGTAATTTGGGAAACGACCGTTTGACAATGTTATGATAATATTTCAAGCGGAAACATGACTATTCTAACACACTATGATTAACATCACGGCACTTCTAATAGTTATTGTCAGACTGAGTCATGGAGAATGACGATATTAAAACTCAACAATATTAAAGTTAATTCAATTAATCTGCGATAGAAAACAAGTGAGCGACATCTATAACTAACGAAGAAGTAGGACTATAGTAATAGAATGGACAAATATTTCGTAGACGCTGTTTTATTAGGTAGAAAGAAGTCAATTGTAATACTCTTCAGTGTCGCTGACTATCGACACTATTCTTTTGGCTCATATTTGGTTTAAAAAGGTATTTTAAAAGTGAAAGTGATGCCAACTCTCTCCCTCTTTCCTTGCTAAATGAGAGAGTACAGTGATAGAATTTCGACTATTCAGTAAGATTAGAGTATGGTATAAACATATTTTAGATGGAAAAGTCTTTAAAATTTTGAAGAATACTGTACAAATGGCAGAAAATTATTAATGGAAAATGAGGTGTACGAAATACATAGGCAGTATATTAATTACTAAATATCCCGCTAATCAGCAAAGAAACAGATTTGTTATGTGCTACTTTTAAGAAAAAGAAAAAAAGTTCTTTTAACTCACGCTTACAAACATACACAACATAGAGACACACACATTTATTAAATTGATTAATCCAACTTTCTTTTTCAATTTTTTGTCTTTTCTTCATCTTTTTATAGTTTATGTTTGAGCACATATATGGAGGCATCTAAAATCGAATAAAATAAATCAGTTTCTTTTTCACGTTACTCTGCAACTCTTTAAAACAATTACAAGAATAATAAAAGAAAAAATCTGAATGTATAAAAGGTTTAAAATTGTAAACATTGTTATGATGCATTAGTTGAAAAAATATTTTTATTTTTAAAGAAAAAAGAAAACTCTATTCTAGGAACAAAAATAGACAACATTCATGCTTTACACCACTAATTCATAAATTATAGTGGTAGTAACCTTTTTTGGTACATGTCATACAGCAATCATAGTTTAACATTGTCTTATGTAATTGTATATGTTGCAAAAGTGAACCTCTAAATCTACATCTCTAAAGACATCGTCTCATCTATATAATATTAGCAATTAGCGACATTATCAAACACAAAAGTTCATAATTTTCATTTAAATTTCTTAGTTTAATTTTATTTGAATCATAAACATTTCAAAATGTGTTTTACATAGTACAGCATCTCTTATATCATAAAGCTAGATTTAATTAATGATGGCTAATGTCAACGATTTATTTCTAATTTTATTTTGTATACTTCGCTTTCGCACTTAATGACATTGGCCTCTTAAAACAATTTTTTTTTTTGTTATTTAATACAAAGAGCCTCCAGAAACACTTTTCTATATCGCATAGTGCAAATGTCTGCTTATGGGCAAAAAGTATCATGTTTACCAATTCGTTGTTTGAGATGTGTTTTTATGTGTAAATTAAAAGAAAACAAAAAATATGGATCGAATATTGTTTTTTCCTCTCACGGATAAAAGCACTTGTCTTAGAGTATAGAGATGAAAATTTGTTTATGTTTTTACTTTTTTTTTCTTTTTTCATTAATGATGATCAGAGTTGAATTTGTAATGGATCTTTACAGCTAACAACAGTTCTTATACTTTTACACTCAATAGTAGAGAGGAAAAACAACATACTTGAATAACAGTTTATATCCAAGAATTTAGAAAGAAATAAAATTACCTATTTCTGTTCAAATATCATCTTCACAGCCAAAAATCGACATGAAGAACATAAATTTTTTTATTATTTAATGACAGTCAATGTTTATTTGATATTTCACACTTTCAATAATTGACTTCAAATTCTTATGTGTTTGAACATAACCTTTTTCGTTTTCTCTTTACAGTTTTTTTTCTCTTCTAAACAACAAGAAGTCTATTAAAAAAATTCGTTTGTCGTGACACAGATGATGAATACACACACATATATCAATCAATTACGGTGTTAAAATTTTTATTGTGTGTGTGTGTTTTTATTATTATTACGACTACAATATGTAAGAATCAACGAACGATTGTCTTCTAATTGAACACTTTCAAAATTATAATGGCTTCGCCCAGGTGGGAAAGATTTGACGTTATTTGTTTCGATAAGGATTAAATCAGTGTAATAAATAAATAATTTCTAGCATTGAATAAATAAATGTTCGTCTGTTATCGAAGTTGTTTGTTTGTTCTATATCTAGTATTAACACATCGCCTGCTAGTGTTCATGCTGACCAAAATGAAGATTCTAAACTGACTAATTATAATGAAGATGGCTTGTTACCTATTCATAAAGCCGCCTTAGATGGCCTTGACTTGTCAGTGAAACGAATATTAACAAATGCGGAAAGTAAAGGTGATATTCAACAACAACTTGAAGCTAAAACGATTGATGGAAGCGAAATGACACCACTTCTATTGGCAACAGCTGCTGGAAAACTAGATGTTCTTCAATGTTTATTAGACTATGGAGCCAATTACAATGCAGAGGATACTAATGGACATGGTGAGTTGTTGACAGTCATCCTTTTCTATGTGATTCTGACAAGTCTATCTTAACACATTTTATTGGTCTTTTTAAATGAAAGAGTAAATATGACAAATGAAAGTGGTTGAACACATAAGAACTCATCTGATTTCCACTTATCATGTGGTTTTCTATTCAGGAATATTTTATTCGTCGTCTTATGCTTTTGCATACTTTTCTATTTGTTAACACAGAAAAATTATTTTTCGTTTGATCACCCCAAAATAGGCTAACAGATGTACCATAAATAATGTCGGTCTAAGTACTTTTGCTCTAACCTCTGTTCCCTAAAGCAAATTCTTTTTTTAATAGAAGGGCCATAAAAATTTTTACAACACCATACTTAAACTTTAATTTTAGAACTTCAATCAAGAACACTAAGCAAATTATATGAAATGTGAAAAAAATGAAAACTTTCTAAATTTGATACTTTTTTCGATTTGAACTTTTTCTCCCGCTATTATTTCAGTGAAAAAGAGTAGTAAAAGCGAGAACTCAGTTTGTGTTTGGTACTTTCAAATGTGCTCTTTCTCGTGGTCTTTAAAAAAGCTTTTTTGGTGTGCTCGGGAACGAAGTTTCAAAAATATTGATTTTCAGAAAATTGATAAACTCTCTTTTCAACGATGTATTGAAACAGAAAACATGATCGAAGTTTTAATTTTGCAGTTAGGTAGAGAAGAACAATCATTTTTGATCAAAAGAAAACAAAGCCGATCGAAAAATCTTTTGTTATGACGGAGTTATGGAACTTTTACTGAAAGCACCACCACACGCAGAATTTAAAAAATTAATGAAAAAATGCATGACAACCGGCAGAAAAATGATTATTTTTCCATGGATTTTGATACAAAAAAATGTAAAGTGTAGTTAAAAGATAGAGCGAAGTCAGGGCAAACAAATGGGTAATTCGGTTTTTCTTACTTTCAAAACATTAACACAAGAAATCGTTTTTGAGTTTACGAAGTTTTCATTTTTCACAGATCAGTCTATAACCATCTATTTGTCAAGAAAAATCGCATGATTGACGTAAATAAATGTATGTTTCTGGAGAATAAAATAAGCTGTGAATTGTCGTATGGTATGATCGATCCATCTATTGAATAGAAAACAATTTCGTATGTTAATAAATAGAAAAGTATTCAAAAGAATAAGACAGACAAAAAGTGCTAAATAGCTAGCCACAGATCAAAGAATTTAATAAAAGACATCATTGATTTACTGATAGAAAAGGTATACCGATACTTGGGCGCCGACATTTGGGCGCAATAACAGTTAAGATTCAAAGGCGTCGGTGCGGGTGTAGATGAGGGTGAGTATCGATGAAGATTAAACAGAAAGTGATTACAGTTGGATATGAGTAGTATAGAAAAAGCTCTCACATCGTGCCAAGTTTGTTTAAAGAAAATTTTATCGTTATGCATCATACTTCAGCAAATGCACTCTTACTGAATGCTTTTGTGGTACATGCGCCCAAATATCACGTGCGCCCAAATGTCGACGCCCAAATGTCTGGTAAACCATAAAAAAATACGAATATGAGCTTACTAGAATAAGAAAATCAAATTGTCAAAGAACGTTCAGTAAGGAGCTCTAATATATGCGGAAAAAATGTGTAATTTCTACAAAATGTTTTAGATTATCAATAATAGTCAATTTTCTAATACAATTAATAATAAGCTCAATTCGTCTCTTTTTAATCGTATTCCGTATAGTTCAAAACGTGTTCAATCAGCTACGAAAATAAATTTTAAAACGTCAAAATTAGCTACAGAATTTTACTATAACGTTGAAAGTTCGCTTGTTGTTAGACGTTCTACTTAGTCTCACGCCGGCAGTGTGATTAATACAGTTAGAGTAATCTTGTAATTAAAGGGACATTTAGTATGTAACGCTAATATTACCTCTATAGTGAATGTACTTGTTACAAGCACTTGATTACTTGATGAGTACTTGGGAAGTGCGTGATAAGTTAAGCACTTGGCAAGTACTTGATCAAGAACTTGTCAAGGGTCGTTACTTGACTTGCTTCAGCCAAGTACTTGGACAAACCAGTCACCCTTTTCTTTTGCATTGATCAGTTGTATATAAACACCACAATATTAATCGTTATACATATATAAAATAAACTTACATATTTCTATTGAGTTGATCAGTAGTAGTTGTGCACTTTAAAAAATAATCGTAGATTAAAAAACGAAAAAGCGTTCAGTATAGTTGCAAAATGCAAAACCCTTTTTCGTTTTTTAATGTGCGATTTTTTTAGGGTGTGCATGTTTATTCTCTACAAAAGTAGGGTATAGCTCCAAAATATGTATAAAATACAAAATAAAAATAAATGGAACACCACTTGACTGAACTTTTTAAAGCACATGTACTTGCATTGTGTCAGCCAAGCACTTACATTTTACATGTCAAGTATTTTCTCAAGTACTTGACAAATAAATTTACTTGGAAAAGTCCATAAGTATTGTCCTCATTACTTAACCCAAGTACTTAGCTCAAGCACATTAACTAGGGTTATTATCTGTTTTTCGTTATAAGGAATGGTTGCTATTGCTGCTCTATCACAAAATGAGCGAACTTTGAGATTTATCATTGAACTTCAATTACCTAACTTCAACGTTTGGAAACCAATAATAAAACTTCTTCAGTCATTACACGAGGAGGAAAGTGCAGCATGTGGCCGTGCGCTTGAATCACTCACTTGTCGTTCGAAAGATGGAAAACTTAGTCCTTATTGGCCATCAATGTTAGAGAATGGCTTATTACAATGTTTAATAAATGTTTTAAATGAATCAAAGTCCGACGATGTCTTGATCAGTTGTTATCTAATACTTCTGAACGGTATGGATTTACAACAGATTAAACTGGAACTTGGAGTAATTAAAAACTCATTTACTTGTATATTGAAACATATAAAATCACCGACGACGAATATGGTCACACTTGTCGGTCGTCTACTATCAAGTCTTAGTGAAGAAAAAACACTCATCGAACAGATGGTCGAACAAGGTGTTATTGAAGCAGCTGTAGCTATTGTAGAAAAATATCATTCACCACAAATCGTATGTTCTTATTTCGATTGTCTCGGTTACATAGCGTCGGTATCACATGATAAACAACAAAAAATTGCACATTTACCACGTTTTATCGCAACCGTTGTCGATTATCTTCAAGAATTTGATCATCAATTAAGTTTGTGTGTTGTGCGTTTTATTCATCGTTTATCAACGAGAAATATGGATGTACAAAACACACTAGCACAACATGGTGCATGCGAACATCTATTAGGCGCTCTCGTTTCATCGTCGAAAGAACTGCAGCAAGTGGCTATCGAAGCTATTCAAGCTGTATCGGAAAACAACCCAGCTGTCCAACATATTATGTTAAGGGAAAATGCTGTTGAACAACTGTTGGTATTATTAGATAAAACAAATATGCCAAATTTACAAACAAGTCTCGTGTGTACCTTGTGGACATTAACCGGAGAAAAATCGTCAAGAAAAAGAGATATAGCGACGAGAATTGGTAAGTAATGTTGTTGTCTTGTTAGCTACTAATCAACTCTTTCACTCTCTCTCTCTCTCGTTGAAAGGTTTAAAAAAACTAATATCATTTTATTCGATCAAATCGGACGATCATTTACTTGTTGTTACGGATGCTTTGTATGAATTGGCTAAAAGAACGGCGAGTATCAAAATGAATATCCAGGAAGAAATCGGTCAAACACATGGTATTCAACATTTAGTTCGACTATTAAAATTAGACAATGAAAAACTTGTTTTAAGTGCAATACGAACATTGTCTCAACTTGCCGTTGGTCCAGGATATGTACCTAATCGGAAAAATCAAGAGACGATCTTAAAGTGTGATGGTATCACGTTACTTGTCGCACTAATAATGCATGCGAAAAGTGAAATTATTCAGGCTGAAGCCGGTCAGGCTTTAGCTTATGTCGCACTAAGTATATATGACGGTCTCATATGAAAATAAAAAGCTAATGTCGACATTTATCTGATTTCTAGCTAATTCGCAATGTTCAACAGTAATCGAGACTACATTAGATTTCTCATATGATCATTTAATAAATATGATGAAAACATCATTAAATCCAAATGTTCACTTAATTGCATCAAATACATTGGCAACGTTCGCCTATAATAATCAACGTGTATTGTTAAATCTAAGTAAAAGTTGTAGTTTATCGTTTGATTATTTCAATAACTTTTTAACCAGTAAAGACGATTATTCGAGATGTTTGGCAGCATTTCAAGTAAGAATTTCAAAATATCTTCCAGTGAGTTATATTTAAAGACGTTAATCGCGCCATCGAAAACACTGCTGGTGATATCTTTTTTAGAACTTTTACACCATCACCAATAATCTGAAAATTAGCTTACATATTTGATTGTATTGTATTTATACTAGGTCGTGGTATTAGCTAGTTTGATATCTGAACGAAAGCCCTCGACCACAAGTGCCATTGGTTGTGGTATCATTATTGATGTATTAAAAACGTCAAAATCGGATGATAGTCGAGCGCTAGCAGCAGACTGTATGGCAAGACTAGCGCATTTAAAATCAGGTAATTTAATCAAAATTTATTTTTTCGTTCATTTCAAGAACAAAGTGTAGCTTTCTTATTATCATGATATCATTTTCAGCATCAACAATTTATAAGCATACAGGTAACATGCAAATCGCCACTTACATCTTTTTATAAATAAAACCTTTAGAAAACGTCTATGATGCCTCTTGCTCTTCTCTTTTGTTTACTATGTGAACCAACTTCTTGCACTATCTTTCTCCTACTTCTTCTCCTTTCTAAACTTAAACCTTCTCCAATCTTCTTCTCCTTTCTAAACTTAAACCTTCTCCAATCGTCTTCTCCTTTTTAAACTCAAACCTTCTCCAATCTTCTTCTTCCTATCTTTTTCCCGTATGTGTTTGCTCCTCTTACATCCAGGTGGTATTTTTATCAAGAAATTATTTTAAAAGGCTTTTTTAACAATTAGGCGTTCCGCAAGCATTGATTGCCGTGGACTGTATCGATCTATTATGTGATTTATTCTCGTCCGTTAATGATATTACAATTGGTAATGCAGCTGTTGCACTCGGTTACCTAAGCTTTGTTCCAGAAGGACAACGAAAACTGTTGCATCGGTATGTGTTATTAAAATTTGACGGTTGATAAAATAATGTTGTGTGAAATTCTAAAATAGTTAAAATTCTGTTCAGAGCCATCTTTTTTTTCATTGAAATGAATAAAAAAGATAGATATAATCATATTAATATCTGCTATATTTTATCTCGTCTAATCTTTGTACTTCTCTCTAAATCAAAAATGTACCGAGTTGGCGAAACATAAACAGAGAATTTTGCTTTTGGTATATCTTTTTTACCGTTAAATTGCTAGAGAGCCAGTTCAAAACGCCATTCGAAACAACAGATATTTTTGTATATTATATATAAAAATAATTAATAAAGAAGACTACCCGAGTTTTATTAAAAAACACTTTTTGGTCGTCTTAAAGTGTTCTGTTTCTGGTTCATCAAAAATGACATTACGAGATTGAAAATCTAACCCTATTATTGTACCGGTCGTAGTTCTAGGCTTAAAAATGCAAAGGATTAACCATCTGATAGTGATGTGACTTGCAGTATAAAGATTTATTGATTAGAGCTAATATGTCAGTAAAACAAAATTTTCTTTACCATCAGTTAATCGGGATCAAAATTGGTACATTTTCACTGGTCACCACACGTGTGGACAATTTTTGAAAGTGAACAATGATAAATTAAAGAATCTCCAGTGGCCAATCTTAAAAAATATATAACTCCAGAAGGAAAGGTCAGAGA